TTGTAGATTTCGGGAAGCAGCGTGAAAAAAAAGAAAAAAAAAAAAAAAAGAAGATGCGTGAAGCTTAAGGGTTTCCGTTTATACGTGTACTATACTCGGCTTAGAAACCGGTGGGCAAGTTCTGGGTCGGGTTGCTGGGATGAGATAGGGTGAGAGGGGAAGGGTAAAGGATAACACGTGCGAATGTCACAGGCTAGAAGAGGGTGTTTGTCGAACGGGAGATGATCGGAAGGGGAAGGTGAGGTAAGGTAAGGTAAGGTATATGAACAGCGATATAGGGACCAGGTTCCCGTCGCCTGTCAGGGCACATGTATGCATGGTGACGATCACAGGTTACCTTCCCTTTTCTTGATCTCGACGTCGAGGACGGCAGTGAAGTCATAAAGAAGGTGATATCTCGTCCATACTTATCTGCCCGGCCACCACCTCCTTCTTTGCAGCCCTTCATCTCTCCATCCTTCATCAGGTTCAGGAGCAGACATCAGATCCTCAGCAACTGCCCACCTAGGCTCTCACGATGAAATTCACCGCCGCAACCATCCTCGCCCAAGGCGCCCTCGCGGCCGCTGCGACCTCGGGCGACTTCACTATCCTCACTATGAACGTGGCTGGCCTGCCCGAGGTCCTCAACCCCAATGGCGTCCCGGGAGGCAAGGAGGCCAGCGCAAAGACGATCGGGAGCAGGTTTGCGCAGTATGGGTTTGATGTAATTCATGTGCAGGAGGTGAGTTTTGTTTCTTGTCAGTGATTGTTCCGGGAGAGGGTGGGTCGGTTGGATGTTGTCGGGTCCATGTTTGGGGCGAGAAAGTAGAGGACTGGAGGCAAAGACGGGAAGCGGGAAGGCACATTGCGGCGCAGGAACGGCATGCAGGTCGCTGAGGCGCATCTGCATTTTCCGTCTCACGCATTACATGATGCACCCACTGCTTCCGCATCTGCAGTCCGGTCCCGCTTGAGACCGACAACCATAACCCAAGGACCAACCCATCCCATCTTCGTCATCAACCCCTCCCTCGGGTTCTTCATCCCATCCACCATTTCCGCCGTCCTCATTCCACCCACCGAACTAACAAAAACCCAGGACTTCAACTACCACGCCGCCCTCTACTCCACCGACACGCACCCCTACCGTACCCCGACCTCAGGCGGCGTCCCCTTCGGCTCCGGCCTCAACACCCTCTCCAACTTTCCCTGGCTGTCTGGCTCCTTCCAGCGTCAAAAATGGGCCAAGTCCTCATGCGCCTCGGAATTCGACTGCCTGACTCCCAAGGGATTCACCTTTATGCGCGTCGCCCTTTCCTCTGACGCCACCGACGCTGTCTACGTAGACTTTTACAACATGCACACCGACGCCGGCACCGAGACGGCCGATCTTGAAGCTCGCAACGATAACCTCCGGCAGGTGGGCGAGTGGATCCAGACGCACAGTCAAGGAAACGCCGTGTTGGTATTTGGCGATACCAACTCGCGGTATTCACGGTCGGGAGACACGGGGATCCGGTCCTTGCTGGCGTCGGAGAACCCTACGGGGGCTGCAGGACTACAAGATATCTGGGTTGAACTCCATCGTAATGGAGTTGTTCCGAACGATGCGGGCGTGTGTGGGAACCCGGCTGAGGACGCGGCTTGTGAGATTGTGGATAAGGTTCTTTACCGGAGTAGTCCCCTGGTACAACTCACACCGACGGCATTGGAGTACGCTAGTCCCAGGTTCTTGGCGGACGACGGAGTCAGTGTCTTGTCGGATCACAATCCCGTGCTGGTCAACTTGACTTGGTCGGCTGCCGACCGCCGGTTCCGACAAAGCGGGTTCTGGGGCGGAGCGGCGTATGGGACGTGGTTCAATGATGTTTCTGTCCTTGATTCTACTACGGGATCGATTAAGGCGCAGAAGATCACTTTTCGCGGTGAAAACCGTCTTGATAGTGTTGGTCTTACGGTCTCATCGTCAAGTGGCCAGGGAACCACAGAGTTAGTACATGGTGGACAGGGAGGGTCCGAGGTGTCGCTGACGCTGGCTGATGGGGAGTCCTGGGTCAAGTCCGAGCTGTGCCAGGGTCAGAAGAGTGACAAGACACGCAACTTCTACATCAAGGCTACTACGTCCAAGGGAAGGACGCTGGAGGCGGGCACCAGGACGAGCGACTGCAAGGTGTTTGAGGCAGAGGAGGGGTGGCAGGTTGTGGGGTTCTTGGGGGAGAGCGGGGATGAGGTTGATTTGCTTGGTTTCATCTATGGCAAGATCTAGATGGTATTGATTCGAGTGGTGAAAGCGGATTGGTGGTGTAGTGGGTGTGGTTGTTACGACAAATAGCCGGACTGATGATGGCCAGAGTGTAGAATTGGAAAGCTGCGACTGCGCCACTGAGTGTTTGAGACAGCGTTTTTAACAACTATCTACGAAGAGAGGGGCAAGAAAGGAAACAAAAAAGTGAAGATAAAAATAAGCATCCTACTTGGTGCGCGCGGGGGACCGAAGACCGGAGACGGGAGCTGTGCCGGAACGATGCCCCGTGGGGTGGAGTAAGCTATCACCGTTTGCCCCGGAACTACCTGATCCTTTGTGATTCGTAAAAGTCGGTATATACCTAAGCAGACCATTGGCCAGTTCCTCATAAGCTGTGGTTGTTAGCGCAATCGGTAGTGATCAATCCCGTTGATGGTCATACTCATCGGCGCAGAATCCCGCTCGTCTAGACCTTCTTGGGTGTCTTACTGTGTATATCCAATTGCATGACATTACAATCTTTTTCTCCGGGAATAATGTGAGAAACCTAGAACGATATGAGACATCATGTTTTGTTCCGAGCTTGCGGATCAACTTCTGAACAAACTAAACTAACTGCCAATGGCAAAGAAGTGTTTGCCTGAATTCGGTTTGGCGATAGCTTCAACTCACATGACTGGGGAGTCGTGCAGGTCATCACGGCACTAGCTCCACTAGGAACACGAGGTAGGATTTTCGCCTCGTGGTGAACGAACAAATTTCAGTTTCGATGAGCAACAGACAACGGAAAGACATCCAGAAAGGAAGGACGGGAAATCCAGCGGGGAATAGTAGTCTGTTAGTGTCCGTTCGGGGCGCTTCAGGGTGCATGCAATTGAGGGCCGAAAGGGGTCCAGTGAAGCCACCAGTAAAGTTCTCCTTCTCAACGTGGTCTTTCAGCATCTTCGATCGACGGCCCTCCACTGTGACTGCTACAGTTGACGACAGTGACAAGAAACGGCTGTAACAGTGATGGCAAAGTTTTTTTGGGTTGTCACTTTTTCCACTTTCTCTTTCAGTTCCTTCCTTTTCTCTGTGACCCCCCAGTAGTGTACACTAGGTACACTAGTACCCCGTTAGGTACATGCCAAGCCCTCATGGATTCTCCAGATTTTTCTTATTTCATTGCTCTCAGCTCCCCCACAAGCCCCATCCAGCAAATGTATAAGCTCCTTGCTCTCAATGGTCGTCCAGTTGTTCCCCCGGGCCAAATGCCTTGCAGTGCCAGAGTACCTGGCCGACCATCTCCGCGACAATCACAGCCAGCGTGGGCGGCAAACTGGGTTTGTCATCTAGTCTGGCTACAACTATGCTGCCAACGGTAGTGATCGTCGCGCCCACCGGGAACAGCTATGGGCGATAAGATTGCACTGAATCTCGGGCAGATTTAGTACATGGCCCATTGCTCCATGGTTGGCGGTCTGGATTGAATGGATGATTGAATGAATGGGTATCGGTAGTTGATTGATAACTGAAGTCTGTGTGTCTTAGGACATGTGATATGGCATTTTCTGTTTCTGGAAGGTAGTAGGTAAAGACGGAAACCCCATGCTTTGGTGTTTGATGCGACTTTTTTGACATATCGGAGTGATATGCATGTGATTCTTCAAGCTGCAGTATAGGTAGTGTAGAATATCCGGATGGGTGTCGGTAGCAACGCAAAGACTTGCACATCTTTTACACCACCAACTGAACTCTGTCATTTGCATCCATCCCAGCTCCTCCGCGAGCTGCCGGCTTCTGGATCGGTAAGGATCATCATCAGCTCAGTGGAGGCCATGGGGGGGGGGGCTGAAGAGCCCTGGCACTCGCCTGGCTCGGCTAGCTGATATGTACTTGACCGCTCGCTTCCACTGCAATTCATGGCCATGGGGATGGACATCCACTTTCGGCATCTCTGAAAATGGGATCAGCCCGAGAGATTTGCCCTTGTTTTCCGGCCTAGTTGTCATGGTTCGCTTGAGCACATGAAACGGTTGCGCAGAAGGGACGTCCCTTGTTGTAAACCTTCTTTCATGAAAGTACAAAGTGAAGGCGGAACGCAAATAGGAAAACACAATCTTGGAACCTTTCCAAAACAGTCTTGTCAGTTTCCGGGTACCGAAGCAATGCGACGTCGGCAGCACCAAATGCGACTCGACGAAATTGCCTAGACCTGACGACTATATCAGACAGAGTGATGAACTACCCCACTCACTATCGCTATTCCCAATCTAAAATGACCACCAAGATCTGCTCTTCGGTCACAGATCGTCAAGATGTGCAGAGGCTCTTTCTGCAACCATGCGACTGCCACATGTATGTAGTGTACACTAAAAAGGCATTTCAATTCCCAATTGGAGGCGCCTGCAAAGGACCCCAATGTCGCGGATATGCTCAATGTACTTACCCGTTACCCGTCTCTGCATTGTGATCGCATTGTGATGGAGAGTGATGGGGGAATCTCCCGACGCATAGGATGCAACCCACCCGTGTACCGCAGAGTAAGCTTCTTGATAATAGCGTGTGATTGGACTGGTCTGTGTCCGCGCAGTGTTGTAGTCGCTCACTTAAAGCCTCATGCTTGATCAAATTTTTACATCGGAGTCTTGGCTATTTTGGTGAGTGACGCCGTATTGCCTCTTGGACCCGATGGCATCGTTGGCGGGCTAGAACGGAGGATCCACGTCCATACATAACACCGCATCTGTGGTTGCTCTCGGCGGTTGAAATGTTCCACAGCAAAGAGGGCCATCTCCGAGTTCTCTCGCATGTGAAAGCTGCGCACCATCTCATCCAAGACCGTGGCTCCGTGGCTTTGTTGGTGGTGCTGTGATCCGACAATGGCGACCCGAGATGCGTTATGGTGTAGGAGGCAATGCTTAAGAACTTTGTTAGCGGGCGGCAAGGGCGTCTAAAGTTTAAGTTTGTTGGCTCGACTCTTGGTAAAAATTTCAAGTTGGACGAGGCTGTGTCAACCGCCCACCGTTCCGATACCGAGGCCCAAGAAGCAAAGAAGTGATTTCGGGGAACCAGATCCGATGCGACCTGAAGAACCACCACAGGGCACCCCCAAAACCTAGCAACCAACCATTCGCGCGACCGAGCCGGAAGACAGGACGATACGAGGGACGATCCGCTATCCGTCCCTCGGTCCAGGCAGCGAATCTTCATGAGGTAAGCTTTTAGGGGGTGACGATGTGACGGCGGGGAGTTGTGACCTCTTGCCTTGGTCGCATCATGAGCTGGCTTCTGTAGCGGGCTCCCTGAATGGCGAATAGTGGTGAAGAAAAAGAAGGAATACTATTGTATTTCCTAAGGTCTCGACCTATGGCTGTGTACGCCTTGCCGTGCTCATTTTGCATGCGATCGCCCGAAGGATCTGGATATTGGTGATGGGCTGATGCCTCTCAACGCCTGGTCCTGGTCGGGGATGCGTACCCAAGCGGACAGTCCTGGGAAGTTTCGGTATTCGGCTCCCCGACAGCTTCGAATGCTATACATGGAAATAGGCAGAGGCTGAGTGTCTGGGGATTTATGGGAAACGAGAGTAGGCAGGACCTGAGGCAGTGATGCTAGGCTCAAGGGGTCGCCAACGCCCGGCCCGGGGATGACATCCGGTCATTCAGTTGGTTATTCTCATGGAAAAAGACTGGCCTCGCCCCCTTTCCAATGCATCCGATGCAGTTGAGGAGTGAAGGATCTGGGTGGCCGACGGGCCGGTCTGGTTTGCTGAGTGGTGGTCCTGCATGTAATGAGAGTGATTTTCGAGGTGCGAATGGAACAGTGTGACAAGCGTGACGTGGTGGTGAAAGTGTTCGGGCACTGGGCCAATTGCAAGGGGAAAGGAGGTGATGGAGTGATTTGGGTAGGCGAAGATAGGGCACAGAGGGTACCCAGCATAGCGCTTTCGTCACGTGCATTGTCAGAATGTCAAGAGTTGACCCTGCTTCACTTCGGAATTGTTTTGAAAATCGCGTATTTTACTGTCGTTGGCGATTGAAGATGAGGAAACAGAAGAACGAAGAACGAATTGCAAAAAGGAAACGAGGCACGCAGCCGGGCAAGTCAAGAAAGTGAGGGTTGTCTTGGCGTGGATGGCCCGTGCTTGTCGGCTCCAGTGGCCCGTGCTTCCTCCACTGTTCCTGCAGTGATCGACTCGCACTTGTACATCCTCGCCGACCGTGATGAGCCGGAGGCGCTCACTGACTGCAGCTCGTCCCGCCGATTCCCGTCCGTCCCTCGTTCAGTCTGACAGAAAGAAGAAACGAGCCGCTATCGGTTATTACACCACCGCTATCGAGGGCCGAACACGAGTGGGATACTATTCCGATATCCCCGCCACTTCTACCTAGTAAGTAGGTACTGTTTCCCGTCTGCCGCCGTTCTTTTGGGGATGAACAACTGGAGATTTCAGCATCATTCTACTACCCCGAACACAACATGTATTTTGGACGAGGATATGGAACGTTGTACCAAGTCTATCCCAGCCGATCTACTTACATTTCACCCAGCAGTGCACAATAACGTCATTTTCCCTCGTTTCGATTGCTTAAATCACGCTACGGAATGCTTGGGTTTCCCAGTATTGTTTTGGCGTCCATTCTTGCGCTTTCCGAATGGTGCCCGCCCCCCGTTTCACGGTCCTCTCTCTCGCCAGTGGTGAAGTACGTATCCTCTACTGGATCATGGACTTTGGTTTCCCAACCGAAGTCACCTCAACTTCTAGGTTGAAATCTTCAACACAGCGAGCGAGCGGGAAATGAAATTTGGTCGAGTCGTGCCTGTCTCTCCAAATGCAGGGTCGTTAATCCATGTCGCTGCGACTCCACTCTTACAAGGTACCTCTCCGCGGCAGCGGAGACAGTGGACGTGGGTGGATCTAGTGGGGACGGGCCAGGCACTTGCAGGGACTTGGCAGGGCAAGAGCAAGGGCTCTCTTTCTTCGGGGACTCGTCGCTCGCTCGTCTCTTTTTTTTTTGCGGTTCGTCCATCAATCACGGCGACATGGGGGACCTACCTAATATCCAATGCCCGGCAATGGCACATTATACGCTGCACGCTGAGAAGGCTCTCAATTGAGTTGTAGTATCGATACATTAGAGAAGCAGACGACGGGCGGTTCGTTCTTGGTACATTGCAACATGTCATGCACACCGTAATCCGACGGATGGCCGCTGCAGTGTCCTCGGCGACGTGGGATTGGATGGAATCCTCTTGCGAATTCCTTCAACTGGGCGGCCCTTCCCTCTTTCTTGACCTCCGTCATCCCCTCCATCCGTCGGTTCCACCTGTTGTCCTCTTTTTCGTGCCTTCCGGTTTGGGACACTGCACGGTACTGTATCCTACCTCTATCACACGACACACTCCACGCAGTCGTTCATTCCCCAGTGAGGTCGCTACGAGAGCGACGGAGGTCTTCAGAACATCCGTCATCATCATATCAGACTCGAGAAAGTCTTTGCTCTGCAGTGGTTTCCGTTGGCCCACCAAATAAACTGAACTGAATGCCTTCAACTTCAACTTGACCAATTCGATCCGTCGCGAGTCACTTCTTCCATCTCGTCGGTCTGTTGCTCGACGCGCTTATACTTACCTCTACGGTTTAACGTCGTTCGCTGTCATCGCCTCTGACCACCACTGTTTCCACAACAGAATATCACAGGTTCGTACATAATCTCAATTCTCATCAGTGCTTCACTTTCCACTTCCCGTCACTGTACCTTCAACATCCCGCTCCATCAAGCGATCCAATTGCCCCATGGCGCTTTCCGCTCTCCTCAGATCTCCTCTCTGCACTACACTAGTGTGTTCTCGCCCATGTCGGCACTGCGCCGCCCCGGACCCCTGGTATGCAATTATATGCACTTAAACCGTACCAGGCCCCCGGTTGCTGGTGCCATCACACATTCCTCCCTTGATCTTTTTGCCTCCTTCTCCTCTTCAGTTGTTACATCAACCACTCCCAAGCCTCCCTGCATTCCACTACATTCTTCAACACCCTCCTGTTTCCTATCCAGCTTGTCTGATCAAAACAAGTCTCATCGCCATCCTTGTTTCCTCTCCTTTCTGCTAGGTTTGCTTGACGGCCTAGCTAATAACCCTCGTCTCAGAACAACCCTCGACGGCGGCAAACTCGACGAAAAACTACATCTCACCCTCGCTCGTTTCACCATCCAGCCGTGCGCACTCACTACCTGACACTAAGTAGACAACACACAGTTCGGCAAGGAAAATAAATTGCTTCCACTTTGCCATTGGCCCAAGGCTTCATCATCGACTATACGAAGCTCTACTCACCTGCTACTCTGCTACCCGGAATACGCGAGACTTTGTCAAACATCAACGGTTTGGCTGGAAATTTTCGTTGTGCGGACTTTGCCCGGGGTCCTTAATCGTCCGGCACATGTTTAGCTCAAGGCTTCTCGCATCCGACAGCCATGGCATCGCAGAGTAGCCGACCCATGCGATCAAGCCTGCAGGTAGCCCCTTTGACCATACAAAAGGCCGACTCGGCAAGCGAACCATATAACAACAATGGGTTCAACCGAGGCTCGACCCGCGCATCTACCCGCTCTACCCAATCCGAAATGACATCCCAAAGCGAAAACTTTATCGACAGCCATGTCAACAATCCTCCTCCCATCTTTCACAACTTTCTCCAGGCTGTTTACCCCTTTCACCCCGAGTATGTCATGACGGACTCGGCCGTCACCCTGCCACTCAAGGAAAAGGACATTGTCTTGGTGCATTCAGTGCACACAAACGGCTGGGCTGATGGCACTCTGTTGAAAGATGGCTCTAGGGGATGGCTTCCGACTAACTACTGTGTTCCCTACAACCCAGAAGAGATGAGAATACTTCTCGGAGCCCTGGTCAGTTTCTGGGATCTCATGCGATGTGCATGCATAGACAGCCGGGAATTGTTCAATGGCAACAAGTTCATGAAGGGCATTGCTGGTGGTGTGCGATATCTGCTGGTACGTTGTCAACGCCCGTCAACTTGGATTTTGCTCTCCCCTGCTAATACTTTGACAGGAGCACACTGGGTGTCTGCAGAAAGACTCCTCAATTCTGCAACGACACGTTGAGCTCAGGGAGAGCCGAAGGACAATCAATGACGAACTTAGAGCGCTGGCCCAGACGGGCAGGAGATTGGACAGAAAGCTGAAAGCTTCTCACAGGGTGCTTCGCGCAACAGAACATCAGATTAATGAACTGGTGGACAACCTGATTCTGCGAGCTTTCAAAATTGCGCTCAGGGCAGCCGAATTCTTTGACATGATTCAAAACGACAAGTCCCTTCGACTGACATCAGTAATGATCATGGAGACCGTTATGGAAGAGGAAGACCTAACACCAAACACCGATCCTGTGGTTCTGGCCAGATCCAGCGACGCCATTGATGCACGCTCCCGTGCCGACAGCAACGGAAGCGCAACCGGGCCGACGTCATCAGAAACAAGCCAGGCCCCCACAAACGGCCGTTTGTCTCCCCCCTACCAACCGAGTACAAATGCTAACCGGTTGTCTCATGGGAACTCTCTTGAAATTTCCAACCGTCTCTCGTCCGCAACCATTTGCCACCGCGTCAGTCTGGCTGGCTCTTCGCCGCTCTCACAGGCCCACAAGCTCGTCTCCGAACGTCTCACCAAAAGCCAAGATATCCTTGTATCTCACCTTGCTTGCTTGATGGGCCGTCTGCAATTGGAATGTGTATCCCGTCCTCAGCTAGCTCTCGGTGTCAAGCAAGCCATTACAACTGGTGGAGATTTGCTGCTGGTGATTGACGTTGTCTCGGCGCGAAACTCTCTCAGCATCGAGACATTGGCTCCACTTCGTGCCGTCATGTACGATCGCATCGAAAACCTTTACCAAACAGCACGCGAAGTTCTCACCCAGAACATGGAAGATGCCATCGTTCCCAAGGAAGGCCGCCGCTTGCACGTTGCCGCTGTGGGCTGTGTCAAAGTCAGCGGGACATGCTACGACAAGACGAAATGGGTTATTGGACAGATTGGCGATTTCGAGTTCGAGTTCGAGGACAACAGTCTTGATTTGGCCTTTGATTTTTCTGCTTTCGACGCTGTTCTGGACGCGAAGGATACGCGTGCTGCGGATTCGGTCAGCGTTGCCGATTCCAGCAGATCGGAGGCGTTGACTATGTCGACAACCGTCACAACCGCCTCTACGCCCGCTCCAAGGCCAGCAAGTCTGGAGCTCAACAAACCACTCCCTGATATTCCGCTTGTTTCAACTCCAGCTGTGGAAACGTCACAGGAGGCCACTGAAGACTCGGCACCTGCTGAGAACACCTCATCAGTGTCTTCTCCCCGTCCGTCGCTACCTTCTCTTCCCAAGCTCTCTACCGAGATCCCCCTTGCGCATGACTACAGCCCTACCGAGGCATCCGCCGCCCAAGATGGCGAGTTCCATTCTTTCAGGGCCGAGAGCATGACTGCCTCGAGTTCCGCATCAGCTACTACTTATATCAGCCGGACATCGGAGTCAAGCATGATCTCACAGACATCCACTCGGGCCACAACACCGGATCTCACCCATGCTCCCGGAAATCACCATCCTTCGGCATCTAACGTGAGCCTGTCCGACAGTACGACACTTAGTGAAGATAGCGACGATGCCGAGTTTAAGCTACTCGAGAAGACGTATGCTCATGAGCTGATTTTCAACAAGGAAGGCCAAGTGACTGGAGGTTCCCTTCCGGCGCTGGTTGAGCGTCTCACTACTCATGAGTCGACTCCTGATGCCATGTTTGTGTCCACATTCTACCTCACGTTCCGTTTGTTCTGCACGCCGCTCAAGTTTGCTGAGGCCCTGATTGACCGCTTCAACTACGTCGGAGAGGCTCCGCATGTCGCTGCCCCTGTTAAGCTTAGGACGTACAATGTTTTCAAGAGCTGGATGGAGTCGCATTGGCAGGAAGAAACTGACGCGGAAGCATTACCCGTGATTAAGAGCTTTGCCGAGTCCAAACTCACAGAGCTTTTGCCTTCTGCTGGAAAGAGATTGCTTGACCTCGCCGAGAAGGTGGCTAACAGCGGCAGTACTCTTGTGCCCCGTTTGGCTGCCTCCATCTCCAAGACCGGCACTTCTGGCTCTCAGTTCATTTCTGCCGAGACGCCTCTCCCTTCGCCCAATCTCTCAAGGGGTCAAGTGCACGCACTCACCAACTGGAAGGCTGGTGGTGTCTCCCCATCCATCATGGATTTTGACCCGCTTGAGATCGCTCGCCAAATCACCATCAAGCAGATCGGTCTCTTCTGCTCCATCACTCCTAAGGAGCTTCTCGGCTCCAAGTGGACCAAGAACAAGGGAGTTGGCGCACCCAATGTCAAGGCCATGTCGACTTTCACCACCGGATTGTCCAACCTCGTGGTGGACACTATCCTCCAATTCGATGAGATTAAGAAGCGAGCCACCATCATCAAGCACTGGATCAAGATCGGCAGCCAGTTTCTTGCCCTGAACAACTACGACGGTCTGATGGCCGTCACGTGCGCCTTGAACGACTCCAGCATCAAGCGCCTGCGGATGACGTGGGACACCATCAGCTCGAGGCGCAAGGAGACGCTCAAGTCTCTGCAGGCCATTGTCGAGATCGGCCAAAACCACAAGGCCCTCCGTGCTCGGCTCGCCGACCAGGTCCCTCCTTGCCTTCCATACGTCGGCATGTTCCTGACCGATCTCACTTTCATTGATGCGGGCAACCCCGCCAAAAAGACGACGGACACGGGCCTGACGGTGGTCAACTTTGACAAGCAAATGAAGACGGCCAAGTGCATCGGCGAGCTGCAGCGGTTCCAGATGCCTTACCGCCTCACCGAAGTTCCGGACTTCCAGGAATGGATCGTCTCGCAGATTGAAAGGGCGCGGGAGATTGAGAAGACCGGAAGGACGCCTGCTCAGGTGTTGCACTACCGTCAGAGTCTGCTGCTGGAGCCGAAGGAGCAATTGCAGTCTCCGGTGGAGGGCCCATCCTCGGGTTCCAACATGTTCTCGTGGATCAGGCACAACCATTCTACGCATGGCTTGCCTACCTCTGCTCAAGTCTAGTGCACTTTATATGAACAATGTTCATCATCGGCGTCGGACGCCAGTGATACACAGCCACACCTGTGCTGTATACCAGTTTCGTGAGGTGGTGTCATTATCTAGGGCGACCACCCACGAATTTTGTTATTTTTTTTTCTTGATACCCATCTGTTTGTTTTATTTGTTTATGGCGTTATGGCATATGAGTCGTACCTGCGCAATGTTGACCATCCTGTCCTTATCGAGGTTAGGGAGCACAGCTACACATCAGCGCGAGCTCACCATGGCTCATTATCTTCATTGTCGCTTGATAGCAGCTTCGCCTGAACATGGGCGTTTGATGCTGCTTTTCACTTTGTTCATCATCTTTACTTGGTTGCTTTCAGGATCATTGGCGCCTTACTGGGGTTGGATTGGATTGGTCTTTTGCTCATTTCCTTTTTGGTTTAAAGTGGAAAAAGAGACAAGGCATTACGGATCAACAGGACAAAAGGAGTTTGGGTGGTTTTCATATCCATTATATCGGCTTGGCTGGGGATAAACGCTCTGCTCAGTGCAAGCGGCTAGCTGGGATGCATTAGGTGTCGATGACAGAAGGAAGCATGGAGACAGGAAAGGGATTTCCACACTGTACGGAGTTGGGAAGTCATGATGTTATGAAAAGCAGCCCTTTGGGCCAAGTAATGGAGAGAGGCAATACCCTGTTGAGGAATATAAACATGTCAAGATAGTGCCAGCAGCCTGTGAGACGGATGAGCGTGCAGCAGAGCAAGTAAAGATACCATTATCACCTATCTGTATGTGTCAATGAGTTTGATCGTGGTGATTTGTGTTGAACTGAAGCTGGTAGGTGAATAGACCAGGGGTGATTTGAAGCACAAGGATGGAGGTGTCAAGTTGCTCATATCGCAAAGCTGAAATCGAGATTGGACCTCCGGACCAACATCTACCCATCAAGTATGTCATACCAACGAGATCTCTAATTAGTATTTCCAAAACAGGCATCGCTAATAACAGGATTACATGACCACCAAGCAAGCAAATGATACCCAATAAAGCTACAAATAGCAACAACCCCACAGTCGCCCATCCTTCCCATGCTCACCTCAACCTCGATGGCCTCGACCGTCTTCGATACTCCTCGACATCGCCCCACTCCAACCCACCCCCTTCCCTCCTTGTATCCACCACCTTCTTCTTCCTCGGCCAGTCTGGGCAGATATCGATGCTTTCCCTTGGAAAGACCAGTTCCAAAAACAAGAAGATCAAGTAATCGATAATCACACAGACGCAAAACAGTTTGCCCGCCCAGACTCCACAGCCATAGTACCTCTTGAGCCGATCAATCAGGGCAAAACTCTGCACCCCGCTCCTCATCCCCCTGGTGGCCGTGACCGCCGTCCACGACCCATTACTCCCATTCCGGTGGTCTTTCAGGTGATCATATCCGTAGAACTCTGCTTCGCTAATGGCGCCCGATATCCCATTATACACCCTCTCGGTGCGTTCCGCTACGTTGGTCCAGCTGTACATGTTTTTGACCTGTTCATGAAACAGCTCGGTGCGCACTTCGTTCCGCCTTAGTGCGGCGATGGCTTTCCCCGTGGCGGCGACGAGGTCGTCTTCTTCGGGTTTGGCAAATACCGTCATGTGCCCTGGTAAGACTTCGGGGATGCCGCCGACTTGGGTGCAGACTACATAAAGGCCGCACGAGGCGGCTTCGACGATGACGGTGCCGAAGGCTTCGGTTAGTGAAGGGTGTAGGTAGATGTGCCCGCGCACCATGACGTCGCGGACTTCGGAGTGGCGGATGGGACCGAGCATTTCGACGCGGTCTTGGAGTACGTTTTGCTCAATCATTTGTTCGAGGTCGATGGATTTGGGACCGGAGCCGGCGATGATGAAGCGCGTGTTGGGGTGGGCGGCGAGGATGCGGGGGATGGCGGCTGTGAGAAGGTCGGTGCCTTTGTTGTAGAAGAGGCGGGAGATGACGACGATGGTGATGGGGTCGTGAGGACCCAGGATGCGGCGCGGGGGGGTTAGGGAGGAGGAAAGGGAGGAGGATGGGTTGGGGGGCAGGCCGGGGATCGGGGAGGAGATGGAGGAGGGAGGGGTGGAGGTGGTGGTTGGGTAGCCTAGTGGACAGAAGTTGTCGGCGACGACGGCGTTGGGGATTACTGAGACCATGAGGGGGTCGAGGGAGGCGCGGAGGACCGTGTTTTCTTTGCTGTGTCACCTTGTTAGTAGGAGGTTAAAGAAGAGAAGAGGGGGGATGAGAGGGGGCATACCAAGTATGAGAAACACAGATGACATGGTCCACGTCGCTCAAAGCAAACTTGAGCAGCTTGTTGGTAAGAATACTCGCCGCATCCGCAAACCCAAATAGACTGTGATCCGTAAACACGGTCCTTAGTCCCATTGTCCTGGCGTGCAAAATTGCTTCATGACACAGACTCGACAAAGAAGCATGACCATGCACGATATCGATCCGTTCCCTCAGCACGATATTCCGGAATACGGGAAAGAACGAGAACACAGTCGGAAAGGTGGCGCTCCGGTAGATGACGAGAAACGGTACATGATAAACTTTCAAGCCGTTAGTGAGATACCGAACCCCCGTTCGACCTTCGTAGGCGTGCGTGATGATGATGACTTTGTGGCCGCGGTCGATGAGCTTGGTGGAGAGCTGGTAGATGTGCGATTCGATGCCGCCGGGTTGGGGAAAGAAGAAGTCGCAGACCATGGCAATGCGGTAGGTGGGCGCCATGATGGGTGATGTATGGGTCACATTGGTGCCCGCCTTGTTTGCTTGGTGATGATATTAGACGTGACTTGGTGGTGGTGGTGGTGATGGTGGTGAATGGTTCATGTTGAGATGAGTGTGTGTTAATGAGTGAGGCGAGTTGCCCCTGCAAATGAGAGGGAGTGAACAGTCAAGTGTAAACAGACGACCATCGACAACTGAAGACGTCCCATGTCTTGGCAGCCGGGGACCGCCAAGGTGCGCATTCCAGGGGTAAGTGATGTTGGAGGATCCACTGATAGCGATAAGCAGGGGCCTAGACGGGCGGTAAGACTTGGCAGTTCGAGAGATCCCCAGAAAAAAGTTGGGATCCACTTTTCGTATGGAGCTCCGTCATTCGTTGTTTTGTTTTCTTTTCGAGCTTCGGAGTTTCGATTTGGTTTCCATCTTCAAATAGACATCAACCGACAGAGTACGTAGGTACTATGCTTCTCACTTTTCTATCAAGTCAATTGACCGCCGACCATAACTGACAGTCACAGTCACAATGTATAACAGATACATCCCTCCACCCAAGCCAGCAGGCGGCGCGGCGGCCCCCGTGTCGTCGCAACCAGTGTCGCAAGCACCAGCGCAACCAGCACGAATTGTCTTTGGCGACGACGACTTTGTCGCAAACACTCAATCAAAGACCGTCGCCGAGGAACCAGTACAACAAGTAGAGGAACCCAAGTCCAAGTCGAAAAAGTCAAAGAAGCAACGCGAGACCGACGACGCTGAAGAGCCCCCACGAAAGAAAACCAAGACCGACGACAACGACGACGAGCAGCAACAACAGAAAGACGAGGCGCAACCCGAGACGACGACAACAGATACATCACCCATTAAGAAGGAACCCAAGAAGCCAAAGAGGGAAAAGAAAAAGAAGGAAAGCGTCCTCGAAAAACCCGCCGACCTCGAAGATGACCACATCCGCCAACGCCATCGCTCCGTCTTTGAAAAGGTCGAAAAAGCTCTCAAATTGAAGGAACTACAGGGCGACGAAAAGGAAGACACGCCAGAACCCGAAGAACCCGTATACGACCTCGGTCCCCTCCCCCAGCCCGCCCCTGTCGTTGTCGATTCCTCCAAACTCACCTACGAGACCCTTCCCCCCTGGCTCGCCAATCCCATCCGCGTCACCACCGAAACCAGGAAACCGTTTACAGAGCTAGGCATCTCCGTTGAGGCAGCCAAGATTCTGGCTATAAAGGGATTTAAAGACGCTTTTGCCGTGCAGACGGCTGCCCTTCCTTTGCTGTTGCCTAATCCCGACCTCCAAGGCGACGTGGTGGTGGCTGCTCCTACCGGTTCGGGAAAGACGTTGGCGTATGTGTTGCCAATGGTGCAGGATATTGCGCTGAGTCAGACGACCAAGCTCAGGGGAGTGATTGTGCTGCCGACAAGAGATTTGGTGCAGCAAGTCCAGCAGGCGTGCGAGGCCTGCGCGGCAGCGTTTGCGGGGAGTAGTGGCGGGAAGAGGGTGAAGGTGGGGACAGCGATGGGAAACCGGCCGTTTAAGGAGGAGCAGGGGGTGATCATGGGGACGGAGCAAAAGTACGATCCCAAGGGTTACCAAAAGTGGTTGGAGAGGCAGAAGCAGTTGGTGGATCTGGATGGGGACAGCGAGCAGGAGGAGGAGGAACTTGATTTGCAGCTGAAGCGGCCGTTGCCGTATCACGTCATTCAGCATGTGCCCAAGGTCGATATCCTCATCTGCACGCCAGGCCGTCTGGTGGAGCACATCACCAAGACCAAAGGCTTCACGCTCGATTATGTCCGGTGGTTGGTGGTCGACGAAGCTGACAAGCTTCTTGCGCAAGACTTCCAGCAATGGTTGGATGTGGTGAACGAGAAGTTGGCTGTCAGCAAGCCTGGCGCCAGAGATTTCGCGGCGAACAACAAGACGGGACCCAGGAAGGTGATTCTGTCAGCAACCATGACAAGAGACATCACGCTGTTGAACGGGCTGAAGCTTTCTAGGCCAAAGCTGGTAGTGTTGGAGGGTGCAAAGGCTGGTGATCTGGCAATTCCCGCCACCCTCAAGGAATACGCCATCAAGATCACCGAGCCAAGTCTTAAGCCGTTGTACCTGGTGGATCTGCTACAGAGCAAGTACATGGTCCCCATCAACGGCGAGGACGTCGCTGCTGGATCGGAATCATCCAGCTCCTCCGACTCGTCCGATTCCGATTCCGACTCCTCCTCAGACTCCGACAGCGAAGCCGAGCCCACAACAAGAAAGGCCAAGTCTGTGTCCAAGCCCACCACATCAAAGGCAAAGGCAGCAGCCTTCCCCACCACCGCCCTCATCTTCACAGCCTCTAACCAATCCGCCCTCCGCCTCTCGCGCCTGCTCTCCCTCCTCCTTCCCCCTTCCTTCGCCCCTCTAATCGGCACCCTCACCTCCTCCACCAAGACCTCGGTCCGCTTACGCACCCTACGCGCCTTCACCTCCGGCAAACTCCGTATCTTGGTCGCCTCCGACTTGGTATCCCGTGGTATCGACTTGTCGAACCTCGACCACGTCATTAATTACGACCTGCCCCTTTCCGAGACGTCGTACGTGCACAGGGTGGGCCGCACAGCGCGTGCGGGCAGGGAAGGTAAAGCGTGGACGTTGGTGGAGTTTGCAGAGGCAAGGAGGTTCTGGAGGGAGTTTGTTGGTGAGGGCAGTGGGGCGGTGTGTAATGTGAAGAGGGCGGAAGGGAGGACGGTGGAGAGGGTGAGGGTTACCGAGGGGATGGATGAAGAGGGAGAGAAGAAGAAGAATGGTGGATTTGGTGAGGAGAGGGTTAAGGAGTTGGAGAAGGCACTGGAGGTGTTGAGAGTTGAGGCTACTAAGAGGGGGTGACTGTTTGGTTTGTTGGTGCAGGTCTGATATCCAAGGAAGTTTATATAGGGTCGTGGTAGGGTTGTATATAATATACGTGCCACTGATGATACTTTCACTAGCTGTCCAAAGGTCTAATCACTGTGAAGGAGAAAACAATACATTGTTGTATGAACACTTCATGCCAATTTGTCAAACACACCAAGATACCCATTGCCCAGCACTTGACTTTAATCCGCTGATACACTCCTCCATCGCAAGCATTCACAGCCGCCTTTGTTCTTCTCAATTCCCTTCGGCCCATGGATCAGCAACATGAATGCCACTCGGCTGCACCCTCGAAGTAGCACTTCCATATCCGTTCCCGCCCCTTCTCTCACTACCCGACCTACTCTCCTCATCACTCCCTCCCCTTTCAACGTCCCTTCCCTCTCCATCTTCATCATCATCTACCTCCTCAATCCCAACATGACCCTCTCCATTCTGTCCCGCACCAAGCAATGGCCTCCGTTGAGCTTCTCCATCTTCCAATCCCCGATAGCCATTCTCCTCATCCCCATGCGGCACCCCAAAGCTCTGTAAGAGTTTATTCCACCAGCTATTATTTCCATCTCCTCCCTGTCCATCACGTCCCTCACCATTTACCATCCCACTCCCCTCCCTTCCTCTTCCACCCATCGTAGCCCTCCCATCCCGTCCTCCTCTCCTCCTCGTTGCCCCCGTCCTCGCTCTTCTCGTCGCCATCCACCTCCCCACTCCCCACCCCAAAATCTGCACCACCAACACCCCCGCCACAACTCCAATCTCCCCACCCATCACCCCTCTAAACTCCCCCTCCCACTTCCCGGCACACCCCTCCCTTCTCCCAGGCCACATCTGTCCACATTGTTCCGTCCCCTTTCCTGCGCTCGGGAAAGGCCAACTCATGTGCTTCGGACTTCGGAACCCACAGCATCCCAGAATATCCTGGATCTTGCGAATGGTGTCGGCGTCGTGCGCCCGAAAGAAATGCGACCATGTTTGTTCGAGGGCGCAGTGTTCGATTGACCCCGGGCCGGAGTTGGGGAAGGAGGAAAATGGGGAGGAAGTCAGGGAGGAGGTGGCCACACTCAAAAGGATGAGGGAGAGGACGAGTTGGGTTGTTTGCAGGGTTTGGGAGAGGGTGGGGAGGAGGGAGCGGAGGGTCCCTGGGCTAGTAGAAGATTGTTGTGGTCGGCGCGGGGCGTGAGCTGGGCGGAGGTGGGTGAGTTGTTGAGAGGGGTTGGAGGGGTTGGGGGTTATGGTTGAGGAGGAGTGGGCGGTTATGAACTTTGGCGGGTTTTGTTGGTTGGGACTGGTTGTGGTGGTGACGCGGTAGAGGTAGGCGGTGTTGAGAGCGGAGAGGATGGGGAGGAGGATGGTCAAGATGGTTAGACCTGGGGAAATGGGGAGGGAAAGGGATTGAGCGTGGATGTGTTCGTATATGGCGAAGGCGAGAAGGGTGAGGATGATCTGTTGAGGGGTGTCAGTTAATCTTGTCGGCGACAACGTCAATTGTATGAAGGCTGAATGTGGTAGCATACCAAGGTGTAGACCAAGCCAAGGGTAATCATGATTTTGGCTGTGTGTGCCCCAAGGCACGACTGCTTTGATACAAGTCAATGTTGAAGTGCCTGACTGTGTGTGGTTGAGATGGATGATTGATGAGGTGAAGTTGAAAGAGGAAGAGTGACGGATGCAATGTGTAGTGGTGTTGCCTGATGAGCACGGCCCGACGCGCCGCTTTATATGTAACGAGTAACGTCCGCTTGTGTGACGTTGACGCGCGGGCGGTTGCAGGCGGCCATGCAACGAGGCCTACAGACCCCTCACTGGCTGTTTGTTGGATGATGCCAGGCAGGTAGTGAAGCAACTGAAATGTGCAGAAATCAAATGGAAATCGACGAATGACTCGTTTTCAAGTGAAAATAATAATTCTGACTTGTCCGGTTTGTCTTTGGTAAGTTGTAAAACTAAACTCAATGCGCTGATCATCGAGGTTTCATCCGACCTAGAAAATGCAATCCCTCAGCTCCTTGCCATGAAACGCAATGCAAATAATACTACATATACACACCCAAATCGTACACATCTCGTTTCCTCGGCCCAAGGGCATTACCACACCCCATAACATCATACGGCTAAAGCACTGCAACCCTTCGATCCACCAAGACGCCCTTTCCCATAACTCAGGTTCTTTTGTTCGCCCCAACGCGCTCGCTGTCGCTCTCACACTAATCTCATGTCCTTGCATGTACCCGTGTTCCGCAGAGACAACATAACAATCCCACCATGACCCTCCTAAGCCTCCTCCTCGCCGTAATGGCCGACCGGCATGCTAAGATCGATCTGTAGCTCATCACGGAAGAGTTGGTTGATGGTCGAGTTGTCGCGCAGATACACCCACTCGCCCTTGGCCGTGCCCTCCTTTTCGTTCTGGCCGTCACCCAACGCCACATAGTCGTAGCGCTTGGGACCGGATTTGGGCGAAGACAGCCAGATCTGCTTGTTGGGCGGTTGCTTGTTGATGACATAGGTGCCGATGCCGTCGTCGAACGAGACGGTGAGGACGCCAGCCTGCAGAGCGTCAGAATCTTTGACAACAATGCGAACGAGAGAATGACATACCGAGTACTCAACGTCAATGTCTTCCCGCTCATCCTGAAGTTCTTCGAGGTGGGTGACGAGTCTGTCCATGTACTGGTCGGCGAGCTTGTGGTACTCGTCGTCGGTCAACTCGGTGGCGGCGCGGACAACAGTGGGAGCGGCCTCTTCCTTGGGCTGGACAGGCTGTTTGTCGGGAGTGATCATGTTGCCATTGGGGCCGGCGGTTGAGTAGAAACGAGGGACTGTCGCTCTTGGGAGTAGTGAAGCCGCGGCGAATGGAGTAGAAGTGATGCGGGTGTTGCGGGAGATGCCTTGGAGAGAGCGCAAAGTAGCTCGCGCAACTTTGGTGACGATGGTACGCGACATGATGGCTGCCCGTGGTATTGATATTTTTCGAGAGTGTTCAAGAAGTTGTAGAGTTGCGACTGGCGCAATTCGTTGAGTGAAGTGTTGGAAGAGACAGAGAGAGGTTCAAGCTGAAGCTGAACTGAATAAAAGCTCAACGGTGTGTCCCGTGGAAGGTGAGATGAACGAGTGGGTCACGGGACAAGAAAACACTGCACAAAATCAGGACGGAAGATGATCAGAGGATGGACTGGAAGGACAGGATGAATCGATGAGAACCTTGAAGGAAATTGGAAGATTGCAGTTTCACTTGTCCAGTTTGCAACTTCCCTCGAATGAACTATCGAACCATTAAAGTTCCTTATCATCCCGAGCTTCCACTTGACTCCCGCTATCGTGCCACTGATGCCCCACTCCCAGAGCTTCCCCAACTTCCACTTTACCTAACAGACGGAACTGAAAGCAGAGCGCTGGCAGGCACGGGATCACGCCTTAGCAGCAGCGGGAAGCTCTAGCTGAGCGCCAGTTAGTGTGACGATGCAAAAAGACATGCAGTCATGACTAAATCTCTGCATTGATGCAGGTACCCTCTTAACGCTTGCTCCCTGCCGTTTGCTACCGTCTGCTAGGCGCCTGCCTCTGCGCATTTAGCGGGTACAGCCGCACGTCATCGCACCCCCACCACACTTGATCGCCCCGGCCGAGTCCAGATTAATATCCACTTTTGCCTCCCGCAACTGCAGCCAAAGAGCCACTGCTGGGCTCTGTGCGACTGCCGCCGCCAAGTGCAACTGAAGTGTCCAACGAGGTTCTCATTTGTTTTCTTTTCTTCATTTTCAACCAAGTCACCCTCTGAGTGTTCTTGAAGCGCGTTAGTCGTTGCCGTCTTTTGCCAACACCGTCCACTTCCAGGTTCCCAAACTGTCACACCGCGCCCACCATGATCAACGCATTCCTCGTCTTCAACGGCCAAGGCCAACCACGCCTCACCAAATTCTACACCCAACTTGTATGTTCCCCTTCTACTTCCATCGCCTACCCTTCCCCATCACAGCCACTGCTAACACCTCTCTTCCCATTTATAGGACACATCAATCCAACAACGACTCATCTCCGAAATCTTCACCCTCGTTGCCAACCGTCCAAAGGGCTCCTGCAACTTCCTCCCCCTCCCGCCCCTCCTCGCCGCCTCTAGCACCTCCACCTCCTCGTCCGAACCACACAACGACGTCCCCTCCCTCGTAACCTACCGCAACTATGCCACCCTCTATTTCATCATCATCTCCACATCCACCGAGTCCCCGCTAGCATTGATCGACCTCATCCAAGTATACGTCGAATCGCTGGACAGGTTGTTTGAGAATGTGTGCGAGTTGGACCTGATCTTCAACTTTGAGACGCTGCATGCGACGCTGGGCGAGATGATTGTGGGAGGAGTGGTGATTGAGACAAATATGGAGAAGATTGTGCAGGGCGTGAGGGCGCAGGGGACGGTGGCCAAGAGGCCAGTCAACGAGAGTAGGGGAGGCGGCATGGGGCTAGGAAGTGGACTGGGGGCTGGGTTGGGAATGGGAGGGAACTTTGTTTGGAGTGGGCGATGAGGTCCTAGGAGCCAGCATGGTCTTTACATTGATGCGCTCCGGTGTTCGGGGTCTCTAGGAGGTGGCCATGAAGAGACTGGAAGCTGTTAGACGGGATCAGAGCTCATACAGCTCTCGAGTAACCGGCATTCAAAGAAGGCGACAAGATGCCACATAAGCATGATACCAGCAAGGAGCAGAAACCATAGATACCCACACCTCCCCAAGGTATTACAACGCCAAACACCCACAAAAGGATACTATACAAAGCATGATACAATCGGCTTGGTCCTGTCAATCCCAAGCCTCAGACCTGTCTGTCCAACACTACATCTGCCGAGGACGGGACCCGCCTTGGACGCTAGCCTGCGACTCCTGGGACTGGATCCTCGCGACGGGCTTGGGAGCTTCATATTCGAAGCCAAGGGAGTTCCAGAACCACTGTCGGAACTGAGCATGGAAGTTAGGCACATATGGGTCATTCAGAAGTGAAGTGGGCAAACATACCTCATAGAAAGGCTGCCTTTCGTCCTTCCAGTCCGCAAACAGCAGGCAGTAAATGAGGACAACTACATCAACATCAACATTAGGTCATTAAATCACAGCCAGTAGAATACCCACAACTAATAGTCCCCAATTGCGCCAACTGCACCATCTTGTTCCATCTCGGCCTCTGCGCAATGTGGTGAATCTTCCTCTTGTACCGCTTCTCGTACTTGAGCTGTTCCTGCGGGCTCATGGTCTTGAAATCGGGCGGCCATGTTTTCTTGGCCGGGTACTGTGTGAGAAGAGCGGGACTGATGTGGGGGAGTTTGACAAAGGCTTGTGGCAGCTCGCTGGAATTGGAGGCTGTTGATGTTGATGCCTTTTGGGCGGCTTGCCGGATGGCTGTTCGGAACATTGTTTGTCGTTGTTTGTTATTGAGGGAAGAGTTGTTGTAAGTGACAGTGGTGACGATACGTATATGCGGGAAGTCGTAACAATAGGTAGGGTTCAGAGGGGAGTCCCGTTAGTGACAGGGGAGACTGGTCATTGGGGACAGAATGAAATGGATCATATGGAGCTCATGATGGAGTTGTTCACTGCATGGATCCGAGGCCATTTCGAGGTTGCCCGATAAGATAAGAAGTTGGTTTGTGGCTGGTGAGTTACCTCACCTAGTGAGGCGGGTAAGAAAGCAGAGGTAGCTCTTAGCCACAGACTAAAACGATAGAGCCCGGTAAACCACAGCCACTAAGTACAGCCAAGCGATGTCGCGGCAAGGGACTGGAGAGGATGCCGCCGTCTTTGCCGTCGGGTGCCTGAGAGGGACTGGACTGCACTGACCCCGCGAAATGCCCGGGCGTTACAGTGCTTCAGTTGCCGTGCCCCTCCAAACCAAAGAATCTGGATTGCTGGAGGCGACTGAAGCAGAGTTGCCGCCGTTGTCGTCCCAAAATTTCCGGAATCTGACTCAATTCCACAGGTCAGTCATCCCGTCAAACAACCCAAGCAGCAGCAGCACTCTCCTCTGGTATTCTAGCTCTGGCTTCAGTTCTTGTCGCCTCGCTGTGCTGTGCTTGTAGGTACAACAGTCAACGCCGAGTTTCTAACACTTTCAGTTTGCGAAACAGAGAATTCGCAGTCCGGGTTGCCGACTTCGGTCTTTCTTTTCTTCTTCACCACCAAGACCAGACATCACCACATAAACAAACATGGCCGACACAGCAGCCGTCGCCAAGGGCGTCGAGAACCTCTCCGTCTCCGCCTCCAAGACCAAGGAGCTCAAGGGCACCGAAAAGAGAGACACCCTCATCGAGATCGAGAAGAAGTACCAGCAAAAATGGGAGCAGGAGGGCGTCTTCGAGGTCGATGCCCCCTCCACCGCCGAGTTCCCTCTCGACGCCATCACCCCCGATGAGCTACGCCAAAAGCACCCCAAGTTCTTCGGCACCATTGCCTACCCCTACATGAACGGCCGCCTCCACGCCGGCCACGCCTTCAGCTTCTCCAAGATCGAGTACCACACCGGCTTCGCCCGCATGCAGGGCAAGCGCGCCCTCTTCCCCCAGGGCTACCACTGCACCGGTCTGCCCATCAAGGCCTCGGCCGACAAGCTGGTCAAGGAGATTGAGATGTTTGGCCAGGAGTTTGAGCGCTACAAGGAGGACGAGGTCGTCGAGGGTGCCGCCCCTGCCGCTGCCGCCCCTGCCGCTGCTCCCAAGACCAAGGAGGATCTCACCAAGTTCAACGCCAAGAAGGGCAAGACGGTCGCAAAGACGGGCGGCGCCAAGTACCAGTTCCAGATCCTCAAGTCTCTCGGCATCCCCGTCTCGGAGATTCACAAGTTCGCCGACCCCCAGTACTGGCTGCACTACTTCCCTCCCGAGTGCAAGAAGGATCTCACCAACTTCGGTGCCCGTATCGACTGGCGCCGTCAGTTCGTCACCACCGACGCCAACCCCTACTACGATGCCTTTGTCCGCTGGCAGATGAACCGCCTCTTGGAGCTCAACAAGATCAAGTTCGGCAAGCGCTACACCATCTACTCCATCAAGGACGGCCAGCCCTGCATGGACCACGACCGTAGCGAGGGTGAGGGTGTCCTTCCCCAGGAGTACACGGCCCTCAAGCTCAAGGTCACCGAGTGGGCGCCCAAGGCTGCCGAGGCTCTCAAGGGCAAGCTCCCCGAGGGCGTCAACGTCTACCTGTGCCCTGCCACCCTCCGTCCCGAGACCATGTACGGTCAGGTCTGCTGCTTCGTCGGCCCTGCCCTCAAGTACGGTGTCTTCAAGGCCGCCGAGAACGAGTACTTTGTCATCACCGAGCGCGCCGCCAAGAACATGGCCTACCAGGGCATCTTCGAGAAGGAGGGCGTCATTGAGAAGGCTGCTGATATCGTCGGCTCCGACCTCATCGGTACCCTCGTCAACGCTCCCCTCTCCGTCCACAAGGAGGTCTACGTCCTCCCCATGGACACCGTCCTGGCCACCAAGGGTACCGGTGTCGTCACCTCCGTTCCCTCCGACTCTCCCGACGACTGCGCGATGATGACCGAGCTCGCCAAGAAGCCCGAGTTCTACGGCATCCAGAAGGAGTGGGCCGAGAAGGAGATTGTCTCGGTCATCAAGACCCCTACCTCCGACCTCCTGGCCCCTTACCTCGTCAAGAAGCTCAAGATCAACTCCCCCAAGGATGCCAAGCAGCTCCTTGAGGCCAAGGAACTCGCCTACAAGGAGGGTTTCTACCAGGGTATCATGAACTACGGTGACTTCAAGGGCGAGAAGGTCGAGACCGCCAAGCCCAAGGTCCGCCAGCAGCTCATCGACGCCGGTGACGCTTTCGCCTACTCCGAGCCCGAGAACAAGGTCGTCTCCCGTTCCGGCGACGAGTGCTCCGTTGCCCTCATGGACCAGTGGTACATCGACTACGGTGAGGACTCGTGGCGCACCATCCTCTACGACTATGTCGAGAACAAGGACGGCAAGGGCATCAACACCTACTACGCCGACACCCAGCACGCCTTCAAGGGCGTCATCGGCTGGCTCAAGCAGTGGGCTTGCGCCCGTACCTACGGTCTCGGCTCCAAGCTTCCTTGGGACCCCAACTTCCTTGTCGAGTCTCTTTCTGACTCTACCGTCTACATGGCCTACTACACTGTTGCCCACTGGCTGCACAGGGACCTCTTCGGTCGTGAGAAGGGCAAGGGCAACATTGGTGCTGACCAGATGATCGACGAGGTCTGGGACTACATCTTCTGCCGCACCGAGCTGTCCGACCACTTGGTCACCAAGTCCGGCATTCCCAAGGAGACCCTCGACTCCATGCGCCGCGAGTTCCAGTACTTCTATCCCCTCGACATCCGTGTCTCGGGCAAGGATCTCATCCCCAACCACTTGACCTTCTGGCTGTACAACCACATCGCCCTCTTCCCCCGTGAGTACTGGCCCAAGTCCGTCCGTGCCAACGGCCACTTGCAGCTCAACGGTGAGAAGATGTCCAAGTCTACTGGCAACTTCATGACCCTCGACGATGTCGTCAAGAAGTACGGTGCCGACGCCGCCCGTGTTGCTCTTGCCGATGCCGGTGATGGTATTTCGGACTCCAACTTTGTCGAGGATGTCGCCGACAACACCATTCTCAGGTTCTACACCAACAAGGAGTGGATCGAGGAGACTCTCAAGGACGAGTCTCTCCGCACTGGCGAGCTCAACAGCTTCCAGGATGCCCTGTTCGACAACGAGATGAACGCCCTTGTCAACGAGGCCCGCAAGCACTACGAGGAGACCTCGTACAAGCTTGCTCTCAAGGCTGCTCACTACGATTTCTTGAACGCTCGTGATATGTACCGTGAGGCTTGCGCTGCTGCTGGCATTCCTCTGCACAAGGACTTGGTCACCAAGTACATTCGTCTTCAGGTACGTTTTTTTCTTTCCTTGCCCCATCAACATTTTCACTTTCGGTACTAACTCGTCTTCCAGGCCCTCGTCATCACCCCTATCGCCCCTCACTGGGCCGACTACGTCTGGCAAGAATGCCTCGGCGAGCCCAAGTCCATCCAGTTCGCCCGCTGGCCCGAGGTCCCCGCCGCCAACCCCGCCCTCACTGCCGCTCGCGACTACGTCCGCACCACCTCCTCCGCCATCAACTCCGCCGAGGCCGCCCAGCTCAAGAAGATGGCCAAGGGCCGCCAGTCCGACTTCGACCCCAAGAAGCCCAAGAAGCTCACCATCTTCGCCACCGAGAACTTCCCCACCTGGCAGGCGAAGTACATCGACCTGCTCTCCGAGGTCTGGGACGCTGCTACCGGCACTCAGAAGATCGATGATAAGGAGCTGAACGGCCGCATCGCCAAGATGGGCGAGATGAAGAAGGCCATGCCCTTCGTCCAGGCGCTCAGGAAGAGGTTGAAGGATGGCGAGCCCGCTGAGCAGATTCTTAGCCGCAAGCTGTCCTTCGATGAGAAGGCGACGCTGTTGGCTATGATCCCCGGTCTGAAGAGGACTGCTGGCTTGGAGAGCGTGCAGGTTGTTCTTGTTGAGGAGGGCAGCAAGACAGGCAAGGACTTGACGAATGGTGGTGCTGAGATCGAGGTCACGGCGCCAATGGCTGAGGCTGCTCTTCCTGGCCAGCCCAGCTTTTTCTTTACCAACGTTTAAAAGGGATGATGTGTTGTAGGATGGGAAATCTACGTGGTGGGTAGTGATGGTTTTCTGATGAATGTCATTTGTTTGGGTTTTGATATCATGGATGGTTAAAAGTTTAGCGATGAATAGATTTGTGTTCATCTAGGTGACGGATGTTTGTGTCAAAGCTTTCATGTTCAAAGGACACGGCTGTGTGGCGGTGGTTGGCCTGATGTTGGGATGTGTCTGGTCGCGTCACTTACACTGGGAGGCCTCAAAGCATCGACTGTATCGTCTTGATCCAGTGGGCAAGGAAGAGCCAGAGCCGCTTCATGAGCACAGTTCTTCCCCTGGAGAGCCCGGGTATGTTCCACTTAGTTCGGAGCTCGTTGTTCTGCCTGGTTTTGAACCCGCTCGCCTGCTTGAGTTCCGGAGAGTTGGCCCGGAGGCTCGAGCACCGGCGGTCGGACCTCACTGCCCCCGTACACAGGATGTTCGGCTGCTCGTAACTACAGTACTCAGCACCCAGCCAAGTAAACAGCTTCGGAGAGCACGTGAAGAGGTTGGCGCTATTGCGAGGCTTGCCAGTTACGAGGACATCAGCATGCTTCGGAAACATCTCCCCGCTCCGAAGGCAGAATGAGTTGAGGAGTCCAGGCTCAGGGGAACATGTCATCCCTGTTGATTGCGTAGTTGTGTCAGCATCATGGTGTACTCGACTCCCTGAAGGGGATACGAAGCTCCAATGTCAGCCATGATGACCTCACTCCTGAAGTGAAGCCGAGTGTTCATCCGGCGTTGGACTTGCCCACAGCCTTCCTGGAACTTGGAGTCAGCTCTCATGTTGTTCGTCCCCGGTAGGCAGTGCAAGCTTCCTCTTTCATCATCCAGACATCTTCCGCGTCTTGGTATCTGATCACCTCATCTCCAGCCTCCCCTCATCTAACATTTAATAGCCGTCTCCTTCCCCTCGTTTCTTCTGTCATCTCACCTACCTCTCAACGCCTTATCATCCTTTCTGCTCTCGTTTTTCCCCCTCAAAGCTAAAACAAGACAAAGTCAACGAAGAGAGGATCAACTCATTCGCTACCAAAGCATCGAACTCTACCAAAGCCAAAATTAACCAGCCACCGACCGGTCCTAAAGCCACCTAAGCAAGATGCGTTCCTCCACTCTCCTCGCTGTTCTCGGCACTGCCAGCCTCGCTGCTGCTCAAACCACTATTACTAGTATTTACGTGAGCACGCCGACCTCAACTTCTTCGAGTAAGTCTCTCTTTTTTGGTGTCCCGTCCGTCCATTCTCACTGCCTTTTCCAACTGTTTTGTGTTTTTGTTACAGCACCTCCTCGTCAAAACGAGAGCCTCCAGTCTTGTCTAGCCTCTTGCATGATCCAATTCCCGGCCCTCCCTCGTGTTACAGGTGGTGGTGGTGTTATTCCACCTGCGCCTGCTGCCAAGGGGTGTCGGGGTCGGACGGACCGGCTAGATCGGGTTGCGCGTGATGTCGGACCTTGTCATCCCCATCAACCTCCTCCTCCTCTTCTGCCGGTCACTTTTCCTCCGTTTCCTCCCCCGAAAGCGCCTATTCCCATTCAGACTCCTCGTCCTGTTCCTGTTGATTCGCTGTCTCCTGATCCTGATTCTGCGGGGTTTGTGCCTGAGAATGAGGATGAGCAGACCTACGAGGATCCTCCTCCTCTTCCTGACGACCCTCCTGTTGCGTCACTTCCCCCTCTGGGAATTTAGTTATCCCTACCTAACCACCTCCACTCCTTCGTTCCCCCCTTTTCTCCGTTTTTTTCCTTTGCACCACGCTCTTTCGGCATGTCATCCACCATTCTCTCTCTCTTTTTCATCCTACTAATGTTAAGAAACAAAAAAGCCACCACAACAGTCACACCCTCCTCTTCCACCACTTCCACCTCCACCTCCTCCACAACCACCACCGTCTATTCTTCCACCACTTCTTCAAGCAGCTACACTTCGTCGGGCGTCACCACCTCTACTTCTACTTCCACTTCTACTGCGTCTCCGTCTTCGGTGCCTAGTGCTGCGGCTGGAAAGGTGCCGTTGCAGGGACCGGCGGTGGGGTTGGGTGTTTTTGCGGCGGTGGGGATGGTTTTGTTGTGAGACGAGGTTTCTTAGTCTTTTGGGTTGATTTGTTGGTGATGTTTCGGGGTTGGGTTGGGTTGGCTTGAGTTGTCTGGGTTGCGATTTCGATGTTGATGGTTGATGGACAGGAGTGTTGGGTTGTTTGAGTGAGGGAATGAGTGAGCGGGATGTTGGTTGGGATGTAATGCTGTGGAATGCGTGGTGTCTATTTTCTGGTGATGAAGAGGTGGGAATAGAAGGATGGTATGGTATAGTACAGTGGTAGTGGTTATCCAAATCATGATGTTGTTGAGTCCGCTAATATTGGTTGTTGAGCACACATGGAGAGACTCTGGTGCTGGTTTTCTTTTCCTTGTGCGGAGGTTGGAGTGAAGATATTTTGCGAAGGATGAGGCATCGAGTTCCGATAGAAGAGAGGATTCGACGGGTGAAAGATGTGTTTGACGTGGAAGTCAAGATCAGGACGAAGATGTTAGGGGTCCGGGAGTGAGTTCCTGGAGCGAATGGAGGAGAACGGAGGCACAACAGCATCAACAACAGTATTGAGAGGTGGATCTGAGGTCGGAAGTCTAGATAGTTGGGGTTTCGTGAGCACAAATCACAAGAGAAAGTGTGGACAGTAGTGTAAATATGCGAAAGGGCGGAAGATTCTCGAGGATGAAGTTTTTGAGGTAGATGTGATATGATGATGGCGAGAAGGAGGAGGAGAAGCGTGAGGAAGCGTAATATGGAGTATTATTGTATATAAAGAGAAGAGTTGATAATGAGTTTCTTTTCCTACATGATCTTTTGGTGAATTGACCTCCAAAATGTCTCAACTCGTTAAAAAATCTTCAACCTCCGCCCGAAGAAAAGAAGAAAAAATTCTGTCAGGAGATTGATCACCACTTCGAATTTCAAAAAAAAAAAAAAAAAAAAGAAACACGAGATGGTTGCTGGTCGCAGATGCATGAATAGCAAAAAGCCAAAAAGATGTTGTGGATGACCCCAACCCGATTTGAACGGATAACCTTTCGATCTGGAGTCGAACGCGCTACCGTTGCGCCATAGGGCCTTGTTGAAAGTAAGGTTCATATCAGGGCGTTATGACCAAGGAATGAGAGCCCTGCAGCCAGTGACATCATGCTCATCTTTATGCTCTTTGGTGATATGCAATCTCAGAAGAGTTTTTCGAGCCTTGGGGATAGCTTGGGTCTCTTTTGCCATTATACATAATGGATTCTGCGATTTGTCTCATGGCATGTCTTTTGCGTAGCATGACTACAGCGATTGAGGAAGATTCGCTGTAGTGACGAAGCAATACGACGTCTTGGTAAGTTACGCAGCTTTGACTTACACGCATTGCCCGTCTTGGCGTACTATACGGTAAGATACTCCGCCTACCCCCACACTTCCATCCGCGCGCCGCACGCGCCAAAAGTTCAGTTCACATCTGACATTTTGCCCCTCCACTGACTGTCCCGCTCGCCGCGCTGACTCTTTTTTTGTCTCGTTCCTTCAACTTCCCAGCATATCACTGCAGCCTCCAACCCAGCCAACGCTTCCAACTCTTCCGCTCCCAACCCCAACTCGTGAAATCTGCGCCCGATCAAAACTATTCCGCGAAATTCTCAACCGAAACCCGAAACAGCCAAAATGTCCGACGAAGAATACTCCATCTACGACGAAGTCGAAATCGAAGACATGACCTACGACCCAGCGCTGCAGACGTATTCGTACCCCTGCCCATGCGGCGACAAGTTCGAGATTGCGCTCGCCGACCTCCAGGACGGTCAGGACATTGCCGTTTGCCCGAGCTGTAGCTTGATGGTTAGGGTCATTTTTGAGGTTGTGAGTATTGCCCTTTTCTGTGTGTGGGGGGAGAGACTAGGACATGGAGGCGAGAAGGTTTGGGGTTGGGTGGAATGCAGCAGTGTGCTAACCAACGGGTGATTATCTAAACAGGATAACCTCCCCAAGGCACCGGATGCCGCGGCGTCTATTGCTGTTTCCGCTTAATGGGGGACTACGAAGTCGAGTGAGAAACCTAAAAGGCGTGGACATCAGAAGTTGCTCGCAACGAGGCGTTCATGATTCTGTATACCGAGGCTGAAGGATAGGATAACATCGGTCTTTCCAACATCAACTTGCAACCAAAGCCTCAATGCTACAGCAGAAGCAAGCCGATTGCTTTCTCGAGCCCAGTCCAGTTCATATCAGTCGTCCTCGCCCTGGTATGCATCGAGGCCACGCCAGCCAGCCAGCCACTTAAACAACCTATCAGCCGGCGCATCCTCTACTGCCCTCGCCCATGCGAATGACTCGAACACCAAACCGACTCGATCCGATACGAGAGCACCTCGACCTCGTCAGGAACGGAAAGCCAACAGTGCCGCCCCGGCCGCTCGGCGGCAACCTCAAACATATCGCGGGACCAAGACGTCCATGCCACTAAGTGTCCACAACCCCTGGAAGAGAACAACGAGCATTGCTGTTGATGACGAGAGAAGAATGGAAGGAATCGCTCTACATCCGTGAACTTTTCGGCTGGTCGTTTTGGCGACCGGAGGGAAGCTTAACAGACGATTCGTCGACGTCTTGGCTCCGCCGCCCTTGGTTTGATTGCGACCATGTGCTTTTGGCGATTAATATCTGGATTGGGCTTCGCGGACATGGGACAAGCGTTGTTGCGTCACAGCCTTCGATATCGGACTCGGGTCAGAATGTCCCATCAGATTACACCTGAACAATGGGTTGAGCGAAGCCAAAAGACAGGGGCTGGATCTGGATGGGTGGCCTTGGATGGCGTTTTAGGTGGTGTGTCTTCAGTATCCGGTCGACAAATAACGTGCGATGGAAGTGGTAGGGCTTGATCAACGCTTTTGGCACCTTGGGTATATCATACAGGCGTTGGTGTTGGGAGATCTGCTTTGGAATTTGTGATATGGGGGTTGTTGCTTGAAGCTCTACCAAGTAGGAAACCACAATAAAAGTCCCAAAGACTACCTAATGAACATTGAATACCCGCTACAAGAACCTTGCATTGACTAGGTATCCATATTGTGTCTCGGCGGATCCTAGTTCATCCATCCCATCAACCGTTTTCCATCCCATCAGTACCCCCAGGGCCTCACCCTCATCTTAATGTCAGGTACCTAACCACCCAAAAACCCCCTCCTCTCATTCCTCCTCCTCTCGCTGCTCAGCGCATCAAGCTTGACCGCCACCAAACAGCATTCCACCACCGACGACGCCTTAGCCGGGTTGGAGGTCAAGGGACTGGACGCGTTCTTGTTGTTGTTAACCGATTGAATACGCAGCCGCCACTGGCCGGTTTTGACGATCCATTGCTCGCCGCCTAGTGGTGAGGTGGGGACGGTGGTTGTTACTCCGTAGGGCGGGCTGGAGTCTAGGCGTCGGCGTTTGCGGGGGTTGGGGTTTTCGTCGAGTGGTGATGATTGTTGGTGGTTCGGTTGTTGGGAGGAAGAGGGGTTGGTGCTGAGGTTGATGGAATTGGGGGTTTCGGCCGTTGAGGGGCCGCCGGAGGAGGAGGCAGATGGGAAGGTGGTGCCGGGGGTGCTGTTTACGGTTTCGTGTGCGGGTAGTGATGGATGGGCAGTTTGATCAGAGTCGTCTGCTGTCCAGGGTTGGCCGTCTAATGTTATGCTTGCTTCGGGGTCGAGGATGACGCGGATGAGGTCCTCGCTGAGAAGAGTGTCTCTTGACGTGGGCGGTTCGCTACCCATCCCTCCTTTGGCCATCAATAGCCCCGAGAGCTGAGTGGAGGAGGGCAAGTTGAGCTTGGTAGCGATGACCTCGAATAACTTGGCCATTTTCGCCTTGATGTCCGTGAAGAACTCCGCTCTGACATCCTTCCCGCCAGGTCCAATGTGTAACCGCGTGGCTTCTTCGCCGATTTCAAGTACGAGTTCCATCGCTTTGTCGTCCGCATACGGCCTGGCGTAATTCACCCACCCCGCCAACGGATCTCCCTCCACCGGCTCATTAGCCACGCTTATCCCGCTCTTCATAATATCTCTCAACCCCAGCACAATCTCCTCCCGTCCCCTGACCTGATTGAACCCCTTTTCATGCGGGATCAACCGCTGCTCCAGGCCCTTGAAGTTGAAATACCTGCAGTCCCTCAGAAGCTCCTGCCGATGCCTCTCATCCCTGATCTTCACCGGGTACCCTCTCAACATATGCAGTAGTTCCTGAAAGACCTCGGCACTGCGATTCGGTACATTAGGCGCGACGATGGACGGCGGACGAATCAGACCCTCCTTGTCCAAACCGGGAAACAAATCCTCGGGATTGCTGAAAAAGATGGCGAACCCGAGCGTAAAGAAGTTGGGCGTGTTCCCGGGTCCAGAAAGGGAGAAGATTTCGCGCGGGATCTGGAAGGGTGTGGAGCCGATGGTGATGTGGATGGGTTCCTCGTAGAGCTGGGACATGAGCTTGGGAAGGGAGTAGAACTGGGCATCGGCGAAGAGGCGGACAAGGTGAGTGGCGTCCCGGGGCCGGACGTGGTAGCCCTGGAGGTGCAGAGAGATGTCTTTGAAGGTGACGGGGTCGCGGTCGATGTAGAGGGTGCGGATGGCGGTGGAGGGGTCTTGGCCGGCGTCGGAGGCTTGTTTGAGT